GCTCTTATTCGCACCTTGTTATGCTGCGGCTTCGATGTTCACAGTGGCACATACCACAGTTATGAAAATACAAAACAACACATGGAAAAAATCTTTAAGCTACACAAACATGTATGTCATACATCCGCTTATAATTTTAACAGTGGAATACACATACTGTGATTTTTCTTTTGTAATAGTAACCAGATAGCATCACATGGTAAGCAATTGGACACATTCACTTAAATAAGCCACAATTCCAATTTGAATCTGGAGGTCTTATTCAACTTCGACCAGGCAAATGTGAAACACATAGTACACAGCGGGTACAAAAAGCATACACATCCCTGTTAAAAAGGCAGGTTTTTGTGATGTAAAAAATGACCATAATAAATTATTATTATTATTATTATTATCTGGTCTGGCCCAGCACTGACCACAAAAATGGAGGATGCTGATTCAGAAATGACTCCCCCTGTGGGGTGTGTGATGGAGAAAAAATGAAAGGTAAGAAAGGAGCTGTGTGTTTTCACCTTTTCAATGGCAGATGCTGAAAAAGTCCTAGTTAGCATGTTCAGAATGCAGAGCTGGTACTTGCAGGTTAATTTGTTTTAAGTATTTTTACTTTATATTTTGTATTAATAATTTTTTATGAATATTTTTGGGTTGTGGAATGAATCATCATTCTAATGGGAAAATTCGCTTTGATATACGAGTGCTTTGGATAGTTTCCGGAATTAATTATGCTCACAATCCGAGGTATTACTGTACTTTTATTATCGCCATACAGTGTCCAGCAAAATTTGGAATGCCACTCCAATGATAATGTATAAGAAGAAAATTATGAAAATAATGAATCAAATACACTGCCTGGCCAAAAAAAAGTCGCCATTTGAGTTTATATCAGCAAATACTTAAGAGCCAATGACTGGATCATTATTACAGCTCAGCAACGTTATACAGCAATAAAGTGAAGTCAGCTGAGTACCTGAATCGACTGAATGGCCAGGTTACACCTCCATCCATCATCAATGGAATTGTCAAAGAGTGGATGATTAAGGAGCATGAGGAATCATTTGGAACCACAGAGTTGTGACCTTAACCTCATTGGAGGTCTTTGGGATGTGCTGAAGGAGGCTTTATGGAGTGGTTCAACTCGCTTGTCAAAACAGGATCTCAGTGAGAAATTAATGCAAATCTGGATGAAAATAAAGGGTGAGATGTTGCTTAATCCTGTGGAAACAATGCCTTGACAAATGTGCGCCATAATCAAAGCTAAAGGCGGTCCAACAAAAAATTCTGATTTTTTGGCTGTACAGTGTATGTGTGTGTGTGTGTGTGTGTGTGTGTATAAAGGATATAAAAGACTAGTGGACGAGTAAAGCGCAAGGTCTAACTATGAGGTAATATTTCAATATTTCAAAGTCAGCAGTAACAACAGCTGAGAGAAAGACAACAGAAGACAGAAAGGCAAAAGACAGTGATGCAAAAAAGACACGGCAGTATATTATGTGACAGTAGGGCAGACAAGACTGATTACTGCTGGTTCAGCAGGGCAACAGCTCATGGGTAGAAACATTATTCAGGTATAATTTCTGCATTGTCTGCCTGATGGCAAAAGGGTAAACAGATGGTTATTGGTGTGTGTGGTCTTTGATGATTTACAGGTATATCCATTTAAAATAATTGGGGAATAGTTGTCTTCTTTAGACATGGAAGTTTCTGTTTTGATAAGAAATAAATGCATTCTTATGGACTCACATCATGCTCAGACTAAGGCTTCAGTTTCAACGTTTAAAGGAATGGTACCTAATAATAATGAACCAGCATGTATTGTTAAGTCACCACAGAAACAAAAAATCAAATGATTTCTTTGTTTCCCAAAGGTTATACAATGGTACCTCAGAACTCGAATTTAATCCGTTCAGAACTCCGGATCGAATCCTAAAAAGTTTGAGTTGTGATCGAATTTTCCCCAAAAGAAATAATGGAAAACCAATTAATTGGTTCCCGGCCCCAAAAAAATTACACCTAAATATGTTTTTTTAACATTTAAACACAAAATGAACCGGATAAAACAAGAAGAGCATATACTGTACTAAACATATCTAAGCACATCTAACAAAACAGTCATTTGTAAAGTAAGAAAATAAATATATCCAAACAATGTGTCATGTCCCGATCATCTGCTCCTTCTGTGTGCCACGCCCCCTCGTTAACCCCATGTGGAATCCCTGTGTGATCAGCTGTTTCTGGTTGTTGTCATTAGTCCTCTGTATTTAGTCCGCGTTTCAGTTTCTTTCCCCAGTCCGGTCATTGTATTGTCCGTCTGCGTTTTGCCTGCCTTACCTGTAATTAAACCCCGTATTCCCCGATACCCTGAGGTCTGCGCCTTTGTCTCCGTTCCGTCCCCGCTCGGCACAACAATATTATTATAATTAAACGTATTAATGGTTTATTATTAGTATTAAAATAATGAATAAGAAATCTTTATTTCAAAATATATTTTATATAATAATAATTACTGTTACTGTCTATCATTGTATAAATGTATTTTTACTGTGTAAATATATGTATTTAGCTAGTGTAAACATGCATGATACTATCACAGCGAATGCGAGGCTGACACTGAAGCCCTTTGTTTCCGCTGAGAGACGTGCCGCGTGACTCATTTCCCCGCGCGTACAAGTTATCTTAGGTCGGCATTCACGGTTTGACTTCTGAGATTCAGATCGAGCTGTAGGTAATTTTTTTTCGAACTGGTTGTTTCGACTTTTAAGAAATTTGAGTTATAATGAGTTTGAGAACTGAGGTACGATTGTATTTAAATTGTTGTTGATTCAGCTCAGGGTAAACGTGATACTGTAGTTGTACTTATACGAAGAGTATAAGATCAGATTCACTTTTTTGATGTGAAAGGCAAATTCTCGATATCTACAGCTGCAAAGCGCAGAAAGTGCATGACTCTAAACATATAATGCAAAATAAAGACAAAGTGGAAAAATATTACATTTAGTGCAACTAAGCAAATACAGTGCACACATTTATCAATTATACAAAATAACAAGGATATCTCCACACTTGGAGAAAAAGCACACAGGACAATTGGTTGACTTAATCGAAATCAAATTGGTTTTTGCCCCCCGATTAATCGAAAAAGTAATCGACAGATTAATAGATTATCAAAATAATCATTAGGAATGTGTTTTGCTTATGATGAAACCAAGATTGAACCTTTTGGCCACAGTTACAAAAGGTATGTTTGGTGCAAAAACAACACTGTGCATCACCAAAAGAACACCACACCCACGGTGAAGCATGATGATGACACCATTTGAGTTTATATCAGCAAATATTTTCATAAGGAGGGGGCGTGGCACACACGAGGATCGTACAAGCAGGTCATGACAAACATCCCCAAGACATTTTTTGTGGAGTGCATGAAACATCATTAGGACATTCTCACAGGACGTCCAGTAAACATTCGGGGACTTTGAGGGAATGTTCATGGTAAGGTCTTTAGACGTTCTCAGGGGACGTTCATGTGACATCCAGTGAACATTAGGGGACTTATAAGGAACGTTCATGGTAAGTTCTTAAAACCTTGTTTTGCTCAGGCTGTTACTTTATTTACCGCAAACAAAAATAAAGAATCTCATGACCTCCTATCCAGAAAGGATATTGTTTTAAGTAGCATACACTGTCCCACCTTGTCCCCTGCAACAAGATATCACTCCCTGTATGAAGTGGTCTTTCTAGATTTGAGAGGGATTATTTATGACTTTGAAGCGCCATTCCGATGCGTTATATGCTTACATGAAATGACAAGCACATACAGGTCCAACTAACACTCATGAAACTGTAAGTAATGCTATAAGTGTAGCCAGTGCAATTTAATTACATCACACAGATAAACACAAATAATTTGGGGACTTTGAGGGAATGTTACATCACACAGACAAATTATTTGGGGTTCTTTATTTGCTGGCCGCCCAAAGAAAATAGAAGGGCAGCTGAGCGGAGTTTTCCCGTTCCTTCCTTCACAAATTTTTACCGTGCGGTACAGTGATACGCGATATCACTACACGGGTACAGATCAACTTTGCCCAGCAACAAATACTAGTAATAAAATAAATCAAACTCTGTATTTTTGAACAGTGTGTAGAATACGGCAGTGGACTGGAACTGCACAAGGAAATACAAAAGTACATACAACCGTTGGTCTTGAATACTAGGATATACACATTTAATACAAAAATGAATAATAGCGCCCTTTTAACTTACATCTCAGTATCTCGCGTCTCTCCCTATATGGTTTGCTCCCCTCCGAATGGCTTTCATGAAAGCCCCAGGCNAACTTACATCTCAGTATCTCGCGTCTCTCCCTATATGGTTTGCTCCCCTCCGAATGGCTTTCATGAAAGCCCCAGGCTATTCACACACCCATTCATGGATTACAAACATGCCATGAAACAAAAAACAATGCATTAATGTGAATTAATAAAAAAACATATTTACACTGCATTCCGCTTTACTGACATACAGATGCTAAACGGACGTACAATCCTTGTTTTACACTTAAATCGAGAATCATCCAAACAGTATTACCTACCAGATTGTCACTAATCCCCTCCAAGACACATACTATATTATTTTTACAATTACATATCAATATCATGAGGGAAACTTACATTTACTCTGTGAGGATCACCCCAGCCTCACTCCCTATGTGCTTCGCGGCCATGTTTTCTCCAAAAAGGGGCGGGGCAGAGGAATACCAAAAAAAAAACAAACATAACCTCCGGGTGGTTCCCAACGCAGACAAGACTAACACCTTAAAGGGAGAGAGTGTACCTATCCAAAGCGAAAACAAAGTCCTTTTTCCCCACTTCAAACCAGTGCTAACATCCAAAATAGAGACTGATTTTCCACCCGGTTACATTAGCTAACATGAGTAAACCTACATATCATGTGTTACGATCGGTTTGCAGGGAAGCAGGTGAAGGGAGCCGTGAATACTAGAAAACGATTTATTCGTGGTAAACATGTAATGTTAATGAAAGATCTGGGGAAACAGACTTGAACGCGGACTAATATACACAGGACTACAAGCAGGAAATGCAACACAACAGGTAAACGGAAGGATTCCACACGGGGTTAACGAGGTAGGCGTGGTACAGGCAGGGTGTGACAGAACCCCCCCACAAAGGTGCGAACTCCGGGCGCGCCTCGATGGAACGGAGAGACATAACCGGGAAAACAGGACCTGGAGAAACAGGACAAAACCATTAACGAGGCACAGGGAACAAAACCGAAACACAGAACTCGAGGCTGGTGAGAAAACAGGCCGAGGGACAGGGAGAGGAGTTGAGGAGGCAGCCTGAAGGGACGGTCGTGCGGACCTGGAGGGAGGAGCAGTCGCCGCAGGCGACCATGTGGTCACTGCCAGAGAGGGCCCCTGCTGCGTCAAGCAGGATTGGGGGAAGCCACAGGCGACTGACATGGCGTCGGAGGCTGTACCAAGGGCTGTAAGTGAACCAGCGGTGGGGGACCCGCAGGCGAACGCCGAGCAGGAGCTGGAGGGATTACTGATGAGCTCAGATCCCAGCGCCGGTGTCCCCTCCTCTTCCGGGACACCGAAAGATGGAAATCAGGCCGGCATCGACCCTTCCGGGGCGATGGTGGAGGAGTCCTCTTTCGGGGGAAATCCGTTGGGGCCTTTAAGGAAGTCCTGGAGGGGCCCCCTTTGAGCTCCTCCTCTCCACCCAGCAAGGGAGGAAGAACGATGGCCCCACAGTCATGGCCCTCCTGGAGTACAGGGCCAAGAGTCTGGGGAGCTAGCAAGGCCAGAGCGAGGTCCGGAACTGGGGGAACTGGGGCCAGAGGGGCCGGAGACGGTTCAGGCAGCACAGAGACCATTAGGGCTGGAGCTGGGGTTTGCGCTGCAGGAGCAGGGACCGGGATTGTTACAGCCTGGGCCGGGGCATCAGGCAAGGGCAGATATTGTGTTTTTTTACTCTTAACAACAACGTAATAATCATACGGATAGGCGGTTCACAAAACTCTTTCTTTTACTGTAGCATCACTTGAACTGGTACACTCCATACATCACTGAGAGCGGTATCAATCCGCAGCTTGATAGGAAAACATAGTGCCATGTTACTACGCATAATATAGTACCTACAGAACACAGTAGGTCATTTGAACATAACAGCGGAGCCCGGACATCAGGCGCGGGCTGACCTGGAGCAGGAGCCAGGGCCTCGGGCGAAGCCGTAGCAGAGGCCGCGGGTGTAGCAGTGGGCGGTACTGTAGCAGGGGCAGCGGGCGTAGCCAGGACCTCCGGCATGGGCGGAGCTGCAGGCGGCGCTGGGACTTCCGGTGGAGCGGCAGGTGGAGCCACGGGCAGAGCATCAGGCAGAGCATCGGGCGAAGCTGTAGGCGGAGGCAGCGCCGGAACCTTGGTTGCTGCGGGCGGAGCCATCAGAGCCCCGGGCAAAGTAAGGGGCAGGGCCACAGGCACAGCAGGAACCCTGGTAGGTGGCGACGCAGCAGCCAGGACGAATCCAGGGTCGTGCAGCAGCTGCTGGTACCGGAGCCTCTGGAGCCGGGGCGTCGGGCGGAGCAGGAGGCGCGGCAGGGGCCTCAGGTGGAGGAGACGGTGAGTGCAGGGGTGCCCTCGAAGGCCATGCATCCACCACTGGGACTGGGACCCAGCTGGGTAGCGACACACAGGTCGGGGCAGGGACCCCGCAGGAAGGTGGGTCTATCTCGGGGTTCACAGGTGCTGCCACTGTCCGGGCAGGCAGGCAGGTTGAGCCAGATAAGCAGAGCATGGACGGGTGAAACAGGCAGAGCATCGGGTGAAGCAGCTGCAGGCGGAGCCGGGAGCTTGGGCAGCGCAACAGGAACCACCGATTCGTGGCCAGCAGGGGGCGCCGCAGCACGCACCGCCGACTCGTGGCCAGCAGGGTCGGCTTCTCGTTCACCCTCCAGTAGAGCTCCTGGAGGGTGAAATAGCGTTCGGCGAAAGCCGGTTCTGTGCGCGCTTCAGCCAGCACAAACACCGCCGGGTCCAGGATAGGACGGGGCTCAGGCGAGCACCCGGCGGGGGAGGAAAGCGAGAGGGTTACTGCCCGTAAGGGGATCACCGGCGTCTCTTCGGGCCTCTTATCTCCTCTCCGCTTTTTCTTCCTCCAGGTCTGGGCTTTCGGTGGAGGCTGGGATTCTACGGAGATACAGATCGGCCGGGTTTCCTGTCCGGTTAGCCTCTCCCGCAGCTGCTGGAGATTTTTGCACACATCCTCCGCTAGATGTGCGTCTTCATCGAGGGCACGTCCCGGCTGTGACTGGCTAAAGCTCGGGGTACAGGGTCCTCTCGGACCTCTAGCTGGGCCAGCCAGTAAAGGACCTCGTCGACCAAGCCGAGGTACTTGTCCTCGGCTAGGGGG